AATGTGTGCTATGTCGATATAATTAGATATAATTAGATGTACACTATAATATCCATGTTTTTTTTTTAAATATGTAGTGTATGTAACCTATCTAATCATTTCGTGTACTAATATTTAATAATAAAAGAATGAAAATTAAGTAAAAACTGAATTAATGCTAATAATTATCATCCTTTTTCTACCTCTTTTCTTTCCTCTTTTTATCCCTTACTTGGTTTTTGTGATTTTCTTGTAGTTTGCTGAGTTATACTGAACAGTATTCAGACTATGACCCCTTCCTGTCCACTCCTGATCCATCCAACCCCTGGATATCAGATGACACAACGCTCTGGGAGATGGAGGCCAGGTCTGTTTCAGACACACACAGTGAATATTATTATTGTATTACAGATAAATGTGTACTGTATTGTATAATATGTTGTGTATGTGTGAACAGTAAGGAACCCGGTCAGACTAGAGTTAGACGCTGGGGTTTTGGAATCGACGAGGTGTTGAAAGATCCCGTTGGGAGAGAGCAGTTCCTCAAGTTCCTGGAGTCTGAATTTAGCTCGGAAAACCTCAGGTACACCTACAGTACACTTCCCCTTTATGCCCCCTGCTGGTGGGGAAGCAGTACTACAAACCTTACAGATCCATTGAGCAACTACTTTTTCATTGTTAATTTATTCTCTGTTGTTATCCAAAACTCAGATTCTGGCTGGCGGTGCAAGAGTTAAAGAGGAGGCCAATCCGTGAGGTGCCAACACGGGTGCAGGAGATCTGGGAGGAGTTTTTGGCTCCTGGAGCCCCCAGTGCCATCAACGTTGACTCGAAAAGCTACGACAAAACCACACAGAATGTCAAAGACCCAGGACGATACGCTTTTGAGGATGCACAGGTGAGGAGCTTATGTTTTTGAGCAGCTACACTGATTATGGTTTTTTAATGAAAATTGATGTAAACAAGCCATACAATTTAGTTTATGAACATGCAAATGAACTGTAAATGTGTGTGTCCCAGGAACACATCTATAAGCTGATGAAGAGTGACTCTTACAGCCGTTTTATTAGATCCAGTGCCTACCAGGAGCTTCTGCAGGCTAAGAAAAAGGTAAAACATTTGGGAAGCAATTTGACGTACAGTCATAATCAGTACAGAGTAACTCATCTTGAATACATTAAATATGCCCTGATACAGATATACTACTGTTCAAAAGTTTGGGGTCGATAAAATTGTAGATATTTTTTAAAGGTGTCTCACAAAAACTGTATTTTTTTATAAAAAAAAAAAAAGTAAAAACAGTAATATTGGGAACTGTCATTACAATTTAAAATAACGTTTCTATTTTGATACATTTAGAAATGTAATTATATCCTGTGATATGAATTTTCGGAATCCTAAAAATTCTATAAAAAAAAATGTAATCCTGTAATATGAATTTGAATCCTGCTGCTTAATTTTTCAGCAGCCATTACTTTAGTTACTCCATTACTCTTCAGTGTCACATGATTCTTCATAAATCATTCTAATATGCTGATTTGTTGCTCAAAATCATTTCTTATCGATGTTGAGAACAGTTGCTGCTCAATATTTTTGTGGGGAAAATAAAGTACAAATACTTTGATGAATAGAAAGTTCAAAAGTACAGCATTTATTTGAAATTCGTTTGAATGTCGCTTTTACTGTCAATGTTATGTGTCCTTGCTGAATAAAAGTATTCTTTTTTTATCGGACTGACTCTGAACTTTTGAACAGTAGTGTATGTGAAGTTATCTTTTCAATAATGCTTTAAATTAATCGTATATAAAAGTATTTGCTGAGAAAAGACCCAAATCCGGCATATTATTTTTGTAAATCATTGAATATATGAGTCAGTGTATTGTTTGTTTGATTTATTTGCATGGCATTGAACATGTTATTAGAGCCGTGTTTTTAGGGCCCTGATTGAAAAATAGCTCAACTCTTTTGTCCGAATTGTTTTTAAATGCAAGAACACACTTTCTA